CACTAGTAGACAAAGGAGAGACTCAGAGCCCAGATCAATGCTATCAATGCTAGGTGATCCCAGCAAGCCTGCAGCAGGAGTAGGGCAAAGTACCAGCTGTGGGGTCTTCAACTCCACAGAAGTTCAGGTTCATCCTGGCCTCTGGTTAGGGTCAGGGCCTCAGTTCTTCAGCCTGCAACACTGCATGGCTCTCGCCAGCCTGACCTTGGCTCCATTACCCAGGACATCTTCCAGTTATTCCTAAGTCACTGTGGGACTTCAACACTGGGCGTTCTGAGATGAAGCCAACCCATGGATCCCTAGTCCCAGGTTGGCCTCTCCCGAAAACGGCCTCTGGCCAGGAATCCTCTCCAAGTACATGGAAGACACTTGGCCAGGAGTCACTCACCAGCTTTTGTAGCATACAGCATCTACTGCTCCTTTCCACTGGTGCGTTTCTCCCTCCAGGCCTCTGGAGCCACCTGCCCTCCCCGTCTCTATAGATTCAATCCTCCTCTCTCACACTGTAAGCTAAGAGCTTGAGTTCTTGTGCAGTTTTCCGCCTCCTTTTTATGCTTGTGGTCTGTCTCATCACTCCGCAGGCTTCAATTTTCCCTTCAGAACCTTCTTGGGTCCTGGGGATCTACCTCCATCCTTTTCTTTCCCAAGATATTTTCCAGTATCTAAATTCCAAACCATGGAGAGGTTGATTTGTTGCTGTTCACCACTCTGCTCTCTTCCCAGAAACCTATCCCTGCCATTCTAAAACATGAGTTTATGTCCATTTCTGGTAGGAAAATACTCTTGTAGACAACCAAAATACTGGAGAGCAGTATCTTATGTACTTCCAGCCACACAGAAGTCCTACTGTTTTATTACACAGAGCATGATTATAGCTAACAATATCATATTGTATGATTCAATACTAGGAGAAGATTTTTACTGTTAGTACAAAAGCTGATGTTTGAGATGATGAATAACCTGAGTAGCCCAAGCTGACTAATACACAATGCACGAATGTACCAAAACACAGTGTATCCTATAAAGACATATTGTCAGTATCTATCACTTAAAAACAAATCTGACAGAGGCAGAAGGATTGCGAGTTGGGCCCAATTTCGACAATTTAGTGACTTAGGGAGACCTTGTCTCAAAATAAAATATTAAAAACGGGTGGATAGGGGGCTGGGGGTTTAGCTCAGTGGCATAAGCGCCTGCCTTGCAAGCAGGCAGTCATGAGTTCGACCCCCGGTACCGATAAAAAGGAAAAAGACAAAAAAAAAAAAAAAAAAAAAAACGGGTGGATATAGTTCAGAGTAAGGAGCATGCATCCAATCCCCAGTAATGGGGAAAACATCAATAGCAAAGCTACAAGAATCACTTTGATTAATGTTTCCAAGATTTAAACTTTAGGTTTTCCCATCCCTCCATTTTTTTCTCCCTCAGAGTTCGGCCTCCTTTAAAACTCTTAGTACCTTCTTGGTAAATGTCCTCTAATGCCTCAGGACCTCCTGCAGCAGCTTCCTGGGAAAGCTGAGTCACTTCTCCATCTCTATGTCCACCTGTCCCACAATGTCAATGCACCTCATGCCCTGTACCACAAAGAACCCTTCAGAGAGTGTGTGCTATGTTAATATACAACAAATGAATGGCATTAGCACTCCTGTGCTCATTCAGTGAGGTAGTCATAATGGAATTTCATCTTGAAGAACCCAAAAGTACAGGGGTTTTTGTTTTTGTTCATTTGTTTGTTTTTTGAGACAGGATCTCACTATGTGGTTCAAGCTGGCCCTGAAATTGCAGCAATCTTCCTGCTTCAGCCTCCTGAGTGCTGGGATTATAGGCATGCATCAGCACACTCAGTGCCCAAAGGTACACTTCTGAGCCTCACCTCTGGTAAGCACCAAAGCACATTTCTGGGGAGGACATTAAACACTATAAATATAAAACATACAGAATTCTTTCACAATGCTTAGAGAAGTGAGGAAAGCCAGTGGAAAGTGTCAGAGAAGAGCCCAATTCTTAGTGTTCCACATCAGCATGGCCCAGAGCTGAATGCGGTTTTTAAAGTCACTGATGTGGGTATTGCCTTAGACGGATGGAAATCGACTTATATGATGGAAATCGACTTATATGAATGGACAACAGTAGCATATTGATGGTAACAAGGTTACTGGAATCATGCTATCTATCCAGAGATTTGTTAAATCATACTAACGTCGGAAAAAAACTATTGTTAGCAGAACTTTCATTTTAAAAAAGGTCAAATGTGCCAGCTCTGGTTATCTGTGGAGGTGATCCATGGGCTCACCAGTCATATCGAACTCCTCTCCATTCCAGGGATCATCTGGGAATAAATTGGAGGAGACATGAAGCTTATCACATCAAAGAAACCACTGTCATCACACAAAGACTGGAACAGACAAGAACTTGGGGTCCTCTAACTTTGACAATGTCTCTTTCAAGCTTCAACTTCAGCTACTTGAAGCAAAGCTGGGGGTTCATTCTGAGGAAATTTACCATGAGTATTTCCACTCAGTGGGGAATCTTTGATTCCCTAAAATTTGTGAGTTCCAAGAGATGCAGCATTGTTTAACATGGAATGTGTATCACTCTCATGTAGAGACAAGTGTGTTACCATGTTTTCATCAAGTATTTATGAGTCATGTTTTCTAGTATACATGTTAACACAGCCTCTGATCTTACAGACTTACATTTCAAATAGGGGGACAGGGTTCCATTCATAGCACAGTACAATTTAAAAGACCAGACAGAGCAAACATAAATCCAGAAGGCAGAACACTGGACCTAATTTTCATAATTCAATTACATGGGAGAAAGGGGGCTGAGGGGAGTGCTTGCTCTAGACCTAGGCAGAGTAAGAGACACCACCAAAGATATGATGGATGGATTTCACACAGATGCTAATGAGAATCAAATTACTGCCCAAAGACATTCTTGATCTGCCTAACTATATGATCTTCCCCAGGGGCACCAGGAAATTATGATTCACTTTGATAGATATGATAATGGCACTTCCTTTTATACAAGACAATGACCATATTTTCCTGGAGATACCAATGGATGTAAGGTGAAATGACATGCTCTCTTAGACTTGCTTTTAAATAGTTTAGCAAAGAGAGTAGAAAATAGGCTTCTGGGGGGCTGGAGATTTAGCTCAGTGGCATAAGCACCTGCCTTGCAAGCAGGCAGTCATGAGTTCGATCCCTGGTACTGATAAAAAGGAAAAAGACAAAAAAAAAAAGAAAGAAAAGAAAAAGAAAATAGGATTCTGTAAGGGAACTGGGCATAATCATAACGGTTACACCAAAGTAATCAATGTACTATTTACTCTACTTTTAAATGTTTAAGAAAAAAAAATAATCAAATTGTGTCATGTACAGGTACAAATTCCCTCTGATGAATGTGATCATTATGTATATCTAAAATATACCAATAAACTTAATTAATGTTTTTAAAAAGGTTAAAGTTTTTCATGCTTAAAAAATTCACATAAAAATACTGAACTGAAAATCTTTGGTAGTAAATGTGTAACGGTTATAAATCTATAACATAGGAAAGAGCTTATTTTAAAAAATATAAGGAAAAAACGGACGTTCCAGGGCTGAGGCTCTCCATTCCCAGCAGCTGCAGTATGCTTCTCTCCCTTTCCTTCCCCACACACTGTGCCCACAGGGCAAGCTCACCAAAGCCAGCTCTCCCCACTACAGAGCTAGCCAGAAACAGCCTTCACAGAGCAGTCTTTCTGTCATGCTTTCTCAGATCTGGGGCAGAAGGAGAGATGGAGACATGGAGAGGAGAATGTTTGCTTGTTATAACACAATGACCTTCCTGGCCTCTGAACCACGATAATCCTCATTAAGGACTGAACCACTAGCAGTACATGCATGACTGTCCCATCAAGTGGCTTATGCTACCCAATGGGGCTATCCCATGCTGTCCACAGGCACAGTCATGCATGCACCACCAGTGGTTCAGAGCCACCTAACAGCGAGACATACGGTTTATGGCCCATCGTGAACACGTTAAATCTGAAGGCTGCAGGCCCTCAGCTCAAAGATCGCAGCACATGAATGATGAAAATTAAAATGACCTTTTGCCTCTCTAACTTGGTAAGTCTGATCATGGCCTGGTAAATTGTGACAATGAGTTTTTGGCTGGGCCTGGTAGTGCACGTCTGTAATGCCAGTACTTGGGAGGCTGAATTTGGACGACTGCCGAGTTCAAGGACAGTCTGGGCTACAAAGTGAGTTCAAGGCCACCCTGAACTACATATCAATAACCTGTCTCAAAAAATAAATAAATAAAAGGAGTTCTTACATTGCCACATCTTGCTGGAAGCTCTGCATGAGACACCTGTCCTTTCCTTCAACTCCCTGTCTGAAAAGAAAGATGAAACACACCAAGACCACTCACCATTTTTTGTGACTTATGCAGTCTAACTGCTTACAAGGAACAATAATAGCAAATTAACTTCAGTCTGATAAGAATTATTACATAACATTAAAACCCATTATCTACAGAGTGCATAATTCTTTTCATACCTTACAACTATTCTTCAACAAAATGTATTTGTAAACTCATGAATTTTAATTTCTATAAAGTATATGAATATCTCCCTACCCCATTTTCTTCATGCCATTTCTTTTTTAAAATACTGACATAATTTGTGGCACTGGTTTATCTTGCACATGTGAATTATATAGATGTAATGAAAAATACCTGAGGTTCAGATTTAAATCATTTTACATGTAAGTACTGATTATACAGCATGTAGGAAGGTGAACTAATTTACAGTATAATTTGTTGATGTAAGTTGCCTTCAAAATACATTGTAGCTAAAAGCTGGGCATGGTGGCTCATGCCTATAATCCCAGCACTCAGGAGGCTGAGGCAGGAGGATCGTTGTGAGTTTGAGACCAGCCTGGGCTACAAAGTGAGCTCAAGGCCAGCCTGAACTGCATAGGAAGACCTTGTCTCAAAAAGAAAGAAAGGAAAAAGAAAGAAACAAAATATATTGTAGCTAAGATGGGTATAAGTTTTACATGCATTTTGGGAGAAATCACACAAAAATAGATGCTTTTTCAATAAACTTGGCCAGCTGCACATCTCTTTTGGTCAGTCCCCCACAGTCATGGGATGTGAGTGTTATCTGGACCTAAGAAAGAAGAAAGCAGATTGTAAGACTATGAGCTGCAATTCACAGACTTCTCCTTGAACAGTTCAGGAATCAATTTATCACTCATCGTTCATATTTGAGAACTGGGAAGATTTAGAAAATGCTACTTTATGAGTAAATGTAGTATTTCCAAAGCGCAGGGAACTCTGGGGCATAGTGTGCACCAGGCCTGGCCCAGCAGCCCCCCTGGACAGAAAGGTTCTCTCTCATATGATGAGACCGTTCCACTGTCTCTATCGCAAATGTTTCTTCAGGGTAGGGGAGGGACTGAGGTTGTGTTTTAACTCCCATTACTTTAACTACACTATTTTCAGGATACTGAGAAAAACCAAACCAGCAAATGTATTACCTTAGCAGAGTTGTTTAAAAAAAAAAAAAAAAGCATGTTTCTAAATTAGGAAAGGACTGATGGTGTAGAACACTACTTTTTTTGACAAATCAGTTAAAAGGCAAATGTAAGATTATGGGCAAAGAGAGGCAACTAGGAAAGAAAAGTATCCTAGTACTATGGTGCTTTGAATTGTTCCAAAAATTGTAACACTAGGAACTTCTTTTTTTCTTTTTCTTTTTTTTCAAAGAGAAAAACCTGGCTGGTTAAGAAATTCAAAATGACATGAAATTAGGGCAAAGAAACTTCTAAGAGGACATAATAGCTTTCACTGTGTTCCTTAAAACTTTTTAGTCTGCCCTTTATTTGAGGATCCAGAACTTAATAAAGAGATACTATGAATAGCTTCTTAGAAAATTTATTTCAAAGAAATCAATAAGGCTATAGGTATGTTATCTACCACTTCTTTTAATATATTACTCTCAATTCAAAAATTTACCTGCATGGCTGACAGCCAAGTTTAATTTAGGAACCTCCTTTGGCCCAAGTTTCTTATATAGATAGCTTCAGTAGAAAACTAGAAAAATAAAAAGAGCTTGTTCACTGTTCTTTTGAGCAGACTTGAAATTTGCTACTAATTTGCAGTAATACACAGGGATTCTAAAAGAAAAAGAATACTTTCTTAAACACAATGACATTTAGCTACACAAAATGACAAAGACAAAAAGTAGAAAAAAGTGTCTTAAACTTTATAATTAAAGTGATCCCAAAATAAGGCAATGTAGTTACCTTGTTGTACACATTGAACCATTCGGGGTGATGATTTATCTTCTCTGCTTGCAGGGCAACTCGGGACATAAAGCCAAAGGCCTGTGCAAGATGAAGCCAAGAATAATTACTGGCGTAGTCCTCCACCCCGTGCCTGAGCATCTGAAGAGATAATGACATGCGAGGCTCCTTAAGGAAGCCTGGAGGACTAAAAGCTGAAAGGACTGCTCTCTGCAGGCCTGGCAGCAGTGTAGCACACTGTGCCCTGCAGCTCGGCGGTGAAAACAACTGGGCTCAAATAAACAAACCAGGAAATTGGTCTCACCCGGTGACCTGTCTGGACTGTTTAATTGTCTTCAAGATGAGACTCTCCGAAACAGCACAGGAATAATTTCCCTTCAACCCAGTGCTCGGGGTCTCACTATTGGCTCTAAATCTTCGCAGACACTTGCTTGCACAGCTCTGTTCCTTTTGTTCTTAATGACTAGGTTGCTAAGGCATCAACCACAAAAGTATGGAAAAAGGTCTTTTGAGAGTGACTTGAGCACAGGGACTGGCAGAAGGGAACAAATTCCTCACCCCATGTCTCAGGTGAGAGGAAAGGGAATAAAGGACTATGTTCCCTGCCATCCAGAGCAGCTATCACCCTGGGATGCTGCTTGAGGTGATGGTGTGGTGAGAGTGTGTCCTCCTCAGGCAGAAGACAAGCTGGAGGCAAACAGAAGGCAGGCGACCCAACGCCAGCTGGGAGCAGATTTCAGGGGCTCTGTCTTCATACCACAGGAAGGGTGGAGGCACAGAGCAGAGGGCAAACTTGTTTTGAGGGGAAAAATCACTTTTTCTGCTTGCTTTCGAATTTTTATGAGGGCAGTTGCAAATAATAGAAGTCTCCATTGTGTCCAGAAGGCAGAAATACTTGGTGAGGCTCAGGTAATAGTACATTAACTTCAGGGCAGTACCCATTGCACCCATATAAATAAATATTTAGCCTCATTACCTCATCCAGAAAAACAAATATAATGTTAGCTGGGCTGTTTTTTGGATCACCAAATGTCATAAGAGCACATTTCCTAGTGAACAGTGAGAAATATGAGCGATGCCATTTTCAATAATTCTCCAACATTCATTATGGTTCCCATCTCAGAGCCAACTTTATTTGGGATAAAGATCTCCATTTTGACATTTAAGGCCTAAGAGTTTTCCCCATTAAAACAAGGGAGGAAATTCAAGTAAAATCCATTTAACCATGTATGGTATTATCTATGGAAAAACAATATTCAGTGTCTCAGACCGCCTCATTTCATAATCTACTGCTCTAAAGTACACGGAGGGTGCAGGTACAACGGCAAAGTCTGTTCTAATTATTCAAACCAAGTTGACCTGTATTAAATGATACATAATGAGAATTTCTATTCTGCCTCTACTGCCTTCTTCTTGTTTAGAATTAGAAACCGTACAACCCTAAATCACCATTGACAGTAACACAGTCATCAGCGTCTAGCCCAGCAGTGGCGAACCTCACAGAGCGTTCAATGGTACAAACAGCCTGCCGGGTATATGGGCTCTAGGTTTGCCGCTGTTAGTAGCCTTTTGAGCCAGGGAGTCCTGGTTCAAATTCTGACTCTATCATTTAACTATTATGTGACTTAACTCCAAACCTCTGTTTCCTTCTCAGTAAAAGGGGCATAATAAAAATTTACATAGTCATTCTAATCAAAATTTTAAGAGATATAAACGCACTTGCATAGCCCTTGGCACAGAGTAAAAGATCAGTAATGGCACATACTGCTACCACTATTACTGCTGATTGAATTTCATACAATAAACCTTACGAAATGCAGCATGAGGCCTTCCTATAGGCCTGAGAGTCTAAGATTCAGTTGCTCTCTCCCAAAATGACCCTTTCCTTTTCCCATTTGTCACAGAGACTTATGCACGTATGCCAAACCAAGAGACTGTAGGATGCCACTCTGATGCACAGACTGGGGAGACAACTCAATGGCAAGAAAGAGTGTACACAGTCACTACCAAGCTCTTATGCCTTGTAGCCATGATTCCTTTGAGCCACACCAACTTAAAAGGACCAAAGTAATGCCTAGAATCCCTTACCATTCCCCAAGAGCCAAACGGATCAAGTGAATGATTTAGACACAGTCAGAAATGTTCTTCAAAAATAGGAAGAGAAAAGGGAAGGGGAAGGGAAAAAAGAAGAAAGAGGTTTTTTTTTTTTAAATGAAAGGAAAAAATGGAGATAAAGCTTTTGTAAATGAGGATTGAAGGGAGCACAGGGGAATGGGAAAAAAAGAACTATGACATATTACATATATGTACAAATTCCCTATGATGAATGTGACCATTATGTATGGCAAGCATGTCCTAATAAAAATAAATTTTAAAAATGTTCAAGTCTTTGAATACCAGAATGCTATCAATACAGTTCAAAATCTGTTCCACCATGGTGAGACTTAAAAGGGAACACACACAACATAAGGACCATAATGATCAAAGAAAAAGTCATGTACCATATCTACAATTTTTTAAAGGCCCACATAGAAAGACCACCCAAGTTTGTATTTTTCTTAGTTTTACATATTTCCCATCAACTGTCACATATTATTTGCATGTATGAAAATATCACAAAGGTGGGGATTTAGCTTAGCGGCATAAGCACCTGCCTGGTAAACGTGAGGTCGTGAGTTTGATCCCCGGTACAAAAAAAAAAAAGAGAGAAAAGAAAATATCACAAAGCAGCTGAGTGGCAGCACATGCCTGTAATCTCAATCTTTTGGGAGGCTGAGGCAAGAAGATTCCAAATTTGAGCCCAGCATGAGCATCTCAGTGATTTAGCAAGACCCTGTATCAAAAATAAAAAAATAAAAAGGGCTCAGAACATAGCTTATTGCAAAGGCTGTACGTTCAACTGCTAGTACAGAAAGAAAAAACAAAAAAGCCTGATACAGACATTTACACAGCATTCACTTATTCTTCTTCAAGGAGAACTACCGTAGGGAAACAGAAATAATTCTACAATTCTCCTTCCTCATAACAGAATCAAATAATCTCCAAAATATGTATTAATAAATCTACAAATTTAAAATTACAAATTCAAATAAGAGCTTAGATGACTGGATAAGAAAGGAAAAAATAAAAACTTCAAAGAGAAACTGACTAGTACACAGTGAAGAAGAAACAAAATCAAACAGTTGACTTACCAGATGATGAAAGGCATCTACCATTTCTTTCAAAGATTTTTTTACAGCCCAAGCTACTTGCTTACTAGGATTCCAATTGAAATCTAAAGGCCTTCAGCTAGTAAAAAGTACAGACCTTAACATGTATTTTAAGAAAGCTGCAAATAGTTTAAGGAGCAATACCTTCAAAGGCCAAGGAACAACACATGCAAAATTTTAGAGAACGGAAGTAAAAACAAAGAACTTTATACCCAGCTAAACTGTTGTGTAGAAATAAATGCAACAGACAAGCATTTTAAAAATGTACTAACTCAGAGAGTAATTCTCATTCAATTTTCTTCAGGAAACTATTAAAGGCGAACTATAAGAGGAATGGAAAAGTGATACTAAAGGTACTGATAGTAAGCAACAAAGTCGTTCAGCTCTAGGAATACATTTATCACAACTGTAGGATTTAATTACAGAAAAAAATGTTCATGTTAAAAACTGTTAAAGGGTTTATTGGATCAATGAACAGAACTGTTTGCAGTATCATTGATGGAATGTCCACTTTACAAGCTTTAATTTTGTGACTTGAACAATTATTTCTAAGATGACAATATGTAATCCATTAACTAGTGATTTCCTACTGTTCATTTTTTTTCTGTAAATCTGTATAACTTGTACCCTTTCCCTGCTTTTTTTTTCTTTTCTCCTTAAATAAAATTAAAAAAAAAAAACTGTTAAAGGGCTTTAAAGAAAAGGGAAAAGAAATGAGAAAAGTAGACAAAAGTAAGACAAAATCTTTAGGGGCCAGGGATATAGCTCAGCAGCATAAGCACCTTCCTGGCAAGCGGGAGGTCATGAGTTCAATCCCTGGTACCAAAAAAAAGATAAAATCTTTGAAGAGCATTGCAGATTTAAGTATAGTTAAGAGTGCAAAACAAACACTAAACTGGGCTGGCATGGTGCTGCATGCCTGTAATCCCAGCACCTGGGAGGTGGAGGCAAGAGGACTGCTGTGAGTTAGCCCAGGATATAAAGTTCAAGGCTAGGCCAAACTGCATAGTGAAACCTTGTCTCAAAAAGGCAAAAAAAAGGGCCAGGGATATAGCTCAGTGCCACAGCACCTACCTGTTAGGTACAAGGTTGTGAGTTTGATCCCCGTACAAAAAAAAAAAAAAACCAAAAAACAAAAACAAAAAAAGACCCCACTAAACTAAAAAATAAAATGAACTGAAATTGAATAGTAAAAGAAAAGTGGGATAAAGTAAAATTCTGATCTTGTTTAGGGGAAATGCTACCTAAAAAATAGGGAACTACATTTGTTATATAAAATTATAGGTAGAAAACTACTCACAAGATCCAAACTAAAAAAATGAACATTTTCAATTAAGTAAAGTACAATTAAAGTGAAACTTTAAAACACATCAAAGAAATTAAGTTTAAACAACATAGCCTATGTCATGGTTTAAAATAAAGGAAAGTACATTGGTTCTACCGTATTTTATAAAACTAAATCCAACTTAGGATGGGGATTTAGCTCAGCGGCATAAGTGCCTGCCTTGCAAGCACAAGGTCATGAGTTCAATCCCCGGTACCAATTAAAAAAAAAAAAAAAAAAAGTAAATCCATCTCTCCAATCAATAAATGTGAAGAGCTTAAATCCAAGTAATTAAAAAAAGAGAAAACTTTCATACTAAACCATGAATCAAAATTCAACCACTGAAAATAAAGCACATAGATAAATACAAAACACTTAAAAAGAAGCAATATTGGACAAGTCAATTAAAAGCAAAATGCTAAAAATTACAAAGAAAGGGGCTGGGGATTTAGCTCAGTGGCATAAGCACCTGCCTTGCAAGCAGGCAGTCGTGAGTTCGATCCCTGGTACCAATAAAAACTTTTAAAAAAATAAAATAAAATAAATTA